CTACCAGATGCATAATTATCTGTAAATTTTCCTGTTTTTTCACACACATGAACAAATGGATTTGGGAGCACTTTGTTGTAATACATGGGCCCTAAACCCCCAAATTCTCCACTGGAAGACATGGGCAACCAGGTACATTGTTCACCAGGAAAGTTATTGGAACTTGTTATCACTTACAGAGCTGCCCAAAATGAGCAGAAGGAATAATCCTGTTTTGGTAAATACAAACTTCAAATGCAATATTTATTATTTATTAGGGATAAATACTTTCTTTTTCCCTTCTGTGAATATCAAAATGCTGTAGCTAGAAGTCGAATCTAGCCTACAGGCTGAAGAAATTTTTTATGATCTGGTCCCTGTAAAAAAAAGACTGTAATTAAAAAAGATTGAACACCATATATCTCTGCAAGGCACTGTTTTCATGAGCTATATATTCAGTCATTCAGTATTTGGAAAGTTTCAGAATAGAGTTGACGTTATCATATTTAGCTTAAAATATGCCAGAAGGCAGACCTGGATTCATTTCATATGGGAAAATTATTCCATAGATTCAGATAGTTTCCACAGATCCAAAGAGTTTCCTGTCAGGTAGATTTAGCCAGATATTCAACTTATATGGATCTTCTCCAAGCTTTATCCCAATTATTTGGATCATAACTATCATTATTACAAGTTTAAATATTTGATTCCAATTCCAATCTTCAGACTAAAATGGAAATAAGACATATAACTGAATTTGAAAATATGAGGTACTGAAAATGTACTTACCTTTTTTTGTAATGGGATCTTAGATATTCAAGGACTCAAAATCAGTTTTTTACAGGTTTTTGCCCTATATTTGTTACTGTGGCAGCTTACCATACTGTATGCTGTAGTTTTACCTACCCCTCTTTGTGAGCTGGGCTGCACTTGAAGGCCTTTACAGAACTTTTATCCTGGTATAAAAACTGAATTGCATTTAGTATCATTTGGACTGGTCAAATAATTCCCTCTAAGCCAAAAATTATATTGTTAAATCTACAGTAAACAAAAGGTTTCATGGCATTTCTTTAATAGATGAGCTGTTCTGCAGAACCATTTCTTCGTGAAAATAGTTTGGCCTGTATAAGCTTCAGAGCTTCACCACAATGACATTATTTACTATAATACAGCCTTGGGCAAAGCAAGTTAAAAACAAAATCGCATCAAAAGAGAACATTTAAACTAGAAGGCATCTTTTGTATTAGAAGTTACTTTCATTTCCTTTGGCTGAATAATTCTTTTGTGATAGTTATGTAGAGAAATAGCCTAATGCAGTAAACTCTGTGAATTGTGAAAGCTGCACAAATGTTATCACTAGACAATAACTAATTCCCAGAGAAGGTACCAAGACAGTTCACAGTTCTACCATGGCAAAAATTGTAGCAAAAGTTCCCTTTAAAAGAGCATTTTTACAAAGATAGACAGAGGTTTTAAAAATGGTGGAAGAGAAATAGAGACAGAATAAGAAAAAAATCTTTCTAAGATGCATAAAGACTGGGACGTGAAATTTATTAAGTCAGTTATTGAGACTTGAATAGATGATTGGAAGAAAGCACTGGATACATATTATAAAAGGGTAGAAACTTAAAAGGATTTTGTGTTATTAAGTGATAAAGAATGTATTTAATACATCAAGATATATTTTCTCAAATGTAAGTGATTCTAAGTCCAGGATTAAAGTTGACAGCAATAAGAAAAATTCCCTTGTTTTGTCAAAGAATGTGTCTTATATGAGAGAAGATGTGTATCAGGCACAGCTTTAAAGTAAAGTAAAGCTTTCAGAGAAAGCAGATTTATTTCCTTAGTCTTGTATTAGCAATTGCTGTAATTCATGTTTTAGATTTCTTCTTTTACTTGCGTTTGATTTTCACGGTAATATTAATTGGGAAAATAATTCCTTCCTCTATAGATTGGCAGTTGGTATAAGAGAGGTGGGATCTAGAAAGACTCTTGGATTGCAGGAAGTGCCACTTTCCTCCTCTATGAATATGTTGGTGGTCTCCAGAGAGGATAAATGAGAAAAAAAGGAGCTAATTCCACTTGCTGCTCATAATAGCCAGATGGCCAGATGTCTCAGCCACTGTTTGCTGTGGACAGTTAATTTGAGTTAGTGATGTGCTCTGGGTAGAATTCAAGTGCCTTGTTTATGTTGGGAGAAAGGATCTGTGACCCTATCTCTTCTCTGTGTGCCAGGGTCAGGTAGAGGAAGAGCTGTGTCTGAGCACTGATGTGCTTTCATAATCTAAGCACAAAATGGAAAAGAATTAGTTTGAACAGTGATTTACAGAAACTCCGTGGAGGTATGTCTGCAATACCAAGAGACACCTGAGCTAAGAGAGACCTCTTGCCTACTGGAAACTGGCTATGTTTCTTCCCAGCTGGTTATGATCAAATGGTGAGTGTCCCCCAATCTATCTCCTGGGTTTAAAAGCACAGTTTATTTAATGCTGAAACGGTGCAAGTGGATCTCATTGTTTTGAGTTGTGCTTGGGCTCCTTCACAATTTACATCTTTTCTATGCAAAGCCAGGGTTGGATCCAGCTGCTCCATGAACAAACCACTGTATGGCTGGCAGCACAAATCACCCCAGCTTCTCTCTGTTTCTCCCTGTTTCTCCCAGCAGGCTGTGTGTTTCTGTTTGAATAAGTTTAAGATCTTTAAATATTTACTTAGCTTTTTGCTTTCCTATTAGAAAATGGTGAGACAGTTTGTTTCTAGTATTTGCCAGGATCTTTTCAGCTCGTGAGTTTACCTTTCCTTAAATTACGAAGCACAGTCTTTACAGAGAGGGACGAGCAAGACATCACCGTAAGGCTGAACCATAACTCAGGTCAAAGAACCAGTTGTTGTTGTTGAAGGTACAAGGCCATCACATGGTAGGATTTTCAAAGTCGCTCTGAGGACTTGCACTCTTAGATCCATTAAATATTAGCAGCCCTTTTAAACATCTACCTTTCTGCAGTGTTTTAGAAAACTTAGTATCACCCAGCAGGAAAGTGAGGTATTTCTCTCCTGTGGGAAATGCAAGAACAGTCAGGGGCTATTGGAAGAAAGGAGGAAGAAGATGGCCAGCACCACCACAGATGAAATCCTGTCCCCTAGAAGAAGGTTGCTATTTTGGGAAAAGGGAATATGGTGTCCTGAGACTCCAGGAAGAGGAGGAGCCCAGAAACAGCTGCAAAGAAAGGGCAGAGATGATGGCAAGCTGGAATGGTAACTGAAAATGTAGGAAAGGGGAAGAAGGGAATGGCAAAGCTCTCCAAAATGAATGGTGACCAAATGAAGCACATATAATTAAGTTGGATGCTTTCTGGGCTGAAGAAAACATTAGATGTTTACTCTGTTTGAGCAGTGTTAGTCATTACCGAGAAAGGTCTGAAGACCACTGGCTGACAAGACATTAATGCTAATTTTATTTTGTGCACTTAAAATACTTTAAATATATATATAATTGCAAAGAGTCAAACAATGTATATGGCTGTTTGTCAGATGTTTATGCTTCAAAAATACAGTCAAGCTATTGAAACCTCCATATCCTTGACCCCACTAATTGGAAAATGCTTCAGCTATGATTTTTGAGTCTTTGATCATTATATTAATGTCAAATGTGTCTTCAGTAATCACACAACTACGTGGTAGATGAGGGAAATCAGACATATAAGGTTCAATGATTCTTGTGAAGAAAAGAGAATATTTTTCCTGGTGCAGATGCGTTCAAAGATTAAAAAATACCACAGTGCATGCAAAATGATTACATTCTGTATTTATGGAAGAATTAGTCTTGGAAAATAGAACATAATACCTTGCTGGGAGCAGACCAGCTACTGAGATCAAATTCATTGGTATGCTCTGGCTGCTCGGTGCTCCATCAGAGAGTACAGCTGGTTTATGTTGTCAGAGCAATAGAAAGCAGCCAAGATTTACAAGAGAAATGGGGCCAACATGTGCTTTATTTATGATTATTATTTTTTAAGGTGAAATAAAACAACAAAAAAATATTGTTGAGCATCACAACACCGATACCTGCTTTGTGACATGGCAGACTGACTGCAGTTACTTAAACCCAAACTACTCTTGAGCATAATTGCTGTAGCAAGCATCCACCCACTGGCAATGCACAGAACTCTCAGTCACCATTTCTCTGCAAGCAACCAGAGAGAGACAAGAGAAGTCTGATGTACAGCCAGGAGAAGAGCAGATTCATCCTGGATTTGATAAGGTAGTTTTGGACCACAATCCCTGCTATTATCCTGCCTTCTCTGTGCTGTGTGAGGGAGTTCCACTGTCATGGGGCTATTCACATATCAGTGCCAGTCCTTGAAATGCTGATTTAATCATTACTGAAAACGTGGCTGGGAAAGGGTTGACTGCTTTGAAAGTACTTACCTCTGTGACAGGTTGAGACAAAGGTGACACATTGGTCACAGCTTCAGTCTCCTGCACCCTACATGCATGCTCTAAAGGCAATTTGTGATTATTTTTTTTTTTTTACAACTGATTATATAAATTAAAACCTGTGACAATATTATCATTTATGTTACTGCCTTATGTTTTCTCTCGGAAATCACTATTGCCTCACCTGCAGTAGAGATGTTTGTGTGCTTGCTTCAATTCAAATTACTTCACTTGCAGACATACTGTGTTTTGACTGATTAAAGTAACCTAACTCATTTTGATGAAAGCAAACTACAGACTAATTGCCTCAGAGAGTCAGCAGATGTGACTGAAAAGTGTCTTCTAACTGAGGTCAGTCAAGAAGTTTTGCATCTTTAACTGGCATACAGGCCTGAAGACACTGTCTGTACACTGGCTCAGCAAGCCTTCTTCTGGTCATCAACCCTGTGCCAGCTGCTGGCCTCTGCTTGAGATTCAAAGCCTTGCTCCAGCAGAAATTAAGGCAAATAATGTGGTTTCAATCATCAGGCAAAAATCTACCCGTGATTATTTCTTTAATTGTTGTCCCTTTGATATTAACTTACCTCCACACAGGGAAGAGCCAACAAAGACAACACTGTCAAGTCATGCAGAAAAAATGCAGTGGTCAGTAACTGTATTAGGACCCGGAGAGCAGGAAAGCCTGGAACTGCTGCAAAGCAAACCCCCAGAACAAGAACTTTAGATGACCCTGTTACTCAGAGTAGTACTGTCATCTTCTGTATCAAATACCTCAGTAATATAAGAGATTTCATGATTTATTTTTTTCCCAGTAAGTTGGATTCTTTTGTTTAGTTCTTAGATTTATGAGGAGAAGTACATATTTGAGAGCCCCACTTTCTCTACACCCATTAAGTTCATAAACCCAGTTTTATAATGTACTCAGTACCATCCTGTTTAGATGACTCCTACCATGGACAATTAGAAAGTGATCATACTGTTAATCAGGCCCTGTAAAACTAGCAAATAGAGAAAATCTGTTTCTCTCTTGTAGCTGACATTAGGATAACAAAGGTACTGATACGGGTTGATATTTTTATAGGCATGGAGACAAGACTATTAAATTTCTCATTTTATTTTTTGTTTTGTTCTCACTGATTAGTGAAAATGGAGGATGAGATATATGACCTAGTGAGGGTTCAGATCAGATCAGTAATTGAAACAAATTCTAGATATGAAAGGACTACCTAGTGTTTAGAAACCATTAAAGGCTGAAAATTACTCTCTGTAAGGGAGCTGGAATAAAACAGTGTTTTGGAAAATAAGCAAAAACTTCAAAAATTGCTTTCAGAAGTTCTGCTGTAACATTCATTGTGCAACTGCCAGTTTTATAAACATTTAAATTCGAATTAATGTCTTGACTGCAGCAAACAGGCAGCAAAGGGCAACTGATCTTGCTTCCAGCTGTGCAATGATCAGTGACTTATTAATTGGACTTGTAAAATTAAAATTTGGTGCTTATTTTTTACTAAGCAGAATGGAGTTACTGCTGGTATTACTACATAATGTATGCAAATGAACAAACATTACCTTTTGCTGTATACAATTTGTGAGTGATTTTGTTGATATTTTGTGATTCATTCTTCTAATACCAGTGTATGCAAAATGTCATGCCTAAGAGGGGTCCATTTGTTTTGGCTTTTGCCTTCTGTTTTCTTTTGCCTTTCTGTAGTTAAGCTGATGGAGAGCTTCACACCAAACCCTGGTGAAAATGAGTTGGTAGTGTGTTTGCTCTTCATCACATTTCACAGAAACATCAACAGGAGCATTTTACTTGGGAAGAGCAGCTTATCAGAACTCCTGCAAAGCAAAAGTATTGCAGTTCTCAAGAGAGCCAAATAAACAGTGGGCATTAATCTGTTTCAGAAATAGAGGGCACTTGATACACTGCAGCAGCTAAAGTTGCTGAGATGTTTCTGCCTCTTTCCTGCTGCAGGTTTTTCCTTAGTTCCCTTAGTAGTTCACGTAGTAAAAATACCCACCAACTTTTGATAGGTTCTATCGAACTAGGAGACCTAGGAATTAATTTGTATTGACCCAACAGAGGACTAGTAACCTCCAATGGCAAAGCTGGCCATCTGGCTGGTGGTCACCTGACTTCCACACCATCAGGTACAGCCTCCTGCCTGTCTGTGGAGCACGGGGTGCTGTAGCAAGCTGAACTCTTCTGCTTCTTTGTCTCCTGACAGATGTTACCCAGGAAAGGGCTGTGACAGCAACTCTCAATACACATGCTATCTGCCTCTCTGTTGCTATGTAACAGTGAGACTGAGTCTCATTGTTCAACTTACATTTTTATTTCTCTGGAAATAACTTTCTTCTGGGACCAGGAAAAATAAAATGTATTTCTTTAGTCTTCCCCCTTCTCATTCACTTATACTACCTTCTTTAAAGTGTTACAGTTTGTCCAGAGTCTCTTTATAACTTGTTTCTTAATAGGAGAAGCAAATCTCTACATTATGCAGTCCCTATTTCCTTAACAATCAGAAATCTTCAAGCCTTCCTGACACCACCACCAGATCTCCACCATAATTACAGTGACTTTCAAACGTATTAGTTCTCCTGCAGCATTACATCAGGGTGTAATGATATAAGGAATATGAAAGAAGTCTTTTTGCACAGGAGTTTTAGAAGCTATAGGAACTAAACTACGACCTTCATTATTCAACTCCTAGTAATATTTTCTTTCTAGACCCCATATTCCATAACAGTTCAGAGAGGGGAGGGCAGACACAGACCCTAGGCTAGGGAGTCAGTAAAATCAGTTTTCTTGAGTCACACTCATCATGACCTTATCATCCTATTTCACTGAATAGCACTAATACCTCCCTAAAATATTTTATAATTAATGTACAAACTTTATCTGCAAGCAAAAAATCATTTAAGTAGGTATCTGAGATAGATTCTTCCTTTCTGTGAAACTGCAAAGTAATAAAAACAAACTCTGTAGCACAGCCAACTACTGGTAACCATGTGCACCTTATGCTATAGGCACCTGGAAAGCCGGTGGTTGCCTAAAGCAACAGCTTCCTGAGAGGGCAAAATTATCATATGTGTAGATTCGAATACCCCAAATTCATCCTACTGAATTATATACGTCAGAGGTTAAGGTAGTTTATGAATATGAATTGAGTATCACACAATGAGTGGAAATACTTTATAACATTGGTCTCTGAAGCTAGTGCAGATTGTTAAATATGTTTTCCTTCTTTGGAGGTTACATTCTTGGCTTGTTTTTATTTGAGTGACATGATGATTGATAGATGGAGTGAATGTAGCCAAAATAGTTGCACAGTTACTTGATTACAATGAATTCTGTTCATCCACCTTCACATTAACTTCAGGTTTGTTTCTCACAAACTTTCAGCTTCTGAAGTTTCTAGAGAAAATATTTTCAGATAATGAATTTCGAAACACTTTTCCATACTTTTTTTGAAAGTTCTTGTGCACTCTTGTCCTTGGGTAGCAAGACAGCATGGCACCTGCACACCTTGTTCAGGGCAACCCTGTCTGAGAGGAAGAGAAGGCCACAAGTAGAAAAGAGACCCAGGAGCCAGACTGGATAATCAGCCGGTCATTGTAATACAATGCCCATTTACAGTGGGAAAGAAATGCGATAGGTCTGTCTAGTATGCAAAGCAAAGACAGAAGGGTGTAATTGTACAACAGTGACTTTACCATCTCTAAACCCGTGCAGCTGGGTGAAGTTCAGGATGCCGTGATCAATTCATATTGTAAAGATCTAAAAGATAACCGTATGAAAATAATTTTGATGTTGTCACATTGTGAGTAGAGGCAGGAGCTAAACCAAGCAGTTTGTCCATGCATTAATGATACATTAAAGCTCACCTATTGTTTTACTTGCAGGGATTCTGTCTGTTATCTCTGCTTGCAAACATATTTCAATATTTTTGAATATGGAAATAACTCTAAAAAATTCAGAAGTCTAAAAAAATTCAAAACTACCAAATAAAAAAATTGTGTTAGAGATACTTATATATTTTTATTTATTCTCTGTTTTTCATCTGTACTTTGACAAACAGAGCTGATGCTTAAAAGCAACTATGGTCAATCCCATTTCCTTGAAAATCAATACCTGTCAGAGGAACATGAATTCAGGGTCAGAGATTTAATTTCTATAAACCCCAAAAGTGTTTCTATGTTTAATTTAAATGGATAAATGGTAGGATTTAAAGTTTTTATTTCTTTTAGTACCACCAAGTTCTGATTAGACATACATTGTCTGTAAACCCTTGATTAGATGTTTATACTTAAATTTAAATATGCTTCTATCTTCTCCTCATAGGTCTTTGTCACTTTCCTCTAAAGTGACCCTGCTGAAGTAGTTTTTACTTCATTCAGAGACAATGATTGAAAGCACGTTATACTATTTATATATTTATTATATATATATATAGGGGCCCCCTGGTGGTATAGTGGTTAGGATGTGGTGCTCTCACCACTGCGGCCTCGGTTCGATTCCCGGTCAGGGGACTTCCCTGGGCAGATGGAGCTCGCTTAGCCCTGTAAGGCCACCCATCTAAGAGAAGGTCACTCTAAACAAACCTACGTCCTGAGGACCTCGCTGCCACCATCCAAGCTCGCTTGGCCCTGGCAGATGAACCTCAGGATTAAAGGGTGGGCTCAGTTCAGCACACACTGTGTCTCACCTAAAAAATCCACTGCGCAGGCTCGAAGGGTAAAGACCTTTCCCAAATCTTTGTTCGCAAAGACTGACCATGATATATATAATATTTTAAGAGGAAGAAAGCCTAGCAATTCTTTCACTAGCTCAAATGGTGTCACTTGTTCTTTCAGAAGTGGCTGGCCAGCCACTAAATATCTGAGTCCTTTTGAGACAGCCTAGGGATATCCTGATCCACGAGTTCTTTAGGGAGAAATTTTTCTGTCAAAGGTGAAATTGATAATTCCCATTACAAAAGTTTGTCAGACCTGGAGCGAATTTCACATACAGCCCAGGTGGAAGTGGATTGAAAAAAAAGAGGGTTTGACTGCACCAGAAAAGCACACCAGGCTAATGGTTGCAGTGAGGATAGGAAAAGAAAGTTCTTTGACTTCAGGTCACCCTTAAATCTCATGTGAGTTGCCTGCTGGCAAGCAGAGGCACTTACCCCGAACAACCTGGGCCATCTCTATTAATCATGTGAGCACACCTTCTGATGTATTCTAGATGTACACTGGCAACAAGCAATTGGTAATTTTATGGTGGAAATAATCATTTTAGAATACCTTACAGCAAAGCTTTGCATCATTAAAAATAAAATCCCTGAAAAATTCATATTTGTTATCTTTCTTTACTACATCTATTTCACCTGATTGCATAAGTGTTGGTGCATGTCCAGGAGCCAGAAAACATTAAGATTTCAGATCACAGAATGTAGGATAATGTATAGTCACATAGTCACAGTTGTGTATGAGGATGCAAACCCATTCTGATACTATCCAATATCTGTAACATTTAGATTAATTACCTTTTTTTTAAATATTTTTTCTTCTTTTAAAGAAATCAACATCAGTCACCTGAAAATCAAGTACACTGAATTATTTAGCTCAATGCTTTAAATCTTTTTTTAATCTGGATGCCTTTATTAATTACTCTTAGTCTTTATGAAATACTTGACAATCATAGCAAATAATTATGTATTGGGTAAGTAATCAAAACTGAAGTAAAAAATATTGTTTTCTTTTGTAACAAGTGTACCAAGGGATAATTCATTGTTGACCTCAAAACTAATGGGACATTGTTATTGTTTTATATCAAAATGATGCTGAAGTTGTTTTGCTATAGCTGTACTCTTCATTACCATATCCGTATCTATCTCATTTTCTGCCTTACAATCCAATTACTATGTAGTAGTTTTAATAACCAGTAAAATAGAATACCCTCCTCTGCACCCTGTCAACACTACTCTTCAACTCCTACTGAGTAAAAAATGAAATGTGGAAATATTAAAGCATGGTTGTATTTTTGTTCTCCAAATAATTCAGTGAAACTAATCTTACTTTTTGGCTCCTGTTCTACAGCATGGTCAAGAAAAACTCTACTGTGTTCTCATTTCTATTTTCAAGTCTCTCCTCTATCTACCTCCTCCCTCTGGTGTCTGAAAATCCTGTCCATGGCATTTTACAAATGTTCACAAAGAAGAATAATATTTAGAGAGTCTTTAGTAAATTCTTCCTGTCTTTTTCAATCCTGTCATCACTCTTGGTACAGTCGACATGTGCTGGGGATGCTACAAGGGTACCAGGTTCAGCTACAGAACTGAAACACAAGTTTAAGGAGGGGGACAGGACATGTGGAATCATTTTTACTAGCTGCCATGATTTTGTACTCTTTTCCTCAGGCAGAGAATGAAAGATCTGTGCAAGTTGTTGTTTGTAAGGCAATATACGACTTTTTTTTTTTTGAGGAAATTTCTTTAACTTTATAATTTCTATCCTTGGATTGTGGTAACAGATGGTGAGGAAAAGAAATATTGCAGTTCTTAGCATGATGAGCGAAGGCTCTGCTCAACTTGCTTTATCTCAAAAACAGAGAGGTGGCAGTAAGGGAAAGAAATCATGAATATGCACACTTTAAAACATTTTTATATCACAACCACTATGGATCACTCAGGATGTGCAGTCAGAAATATTGCTAGTATACAAAATGCTCACTTGTATACAGACTCTGATACCAAAACACGTAACAAAACATGGGCTGCAACCTGCAACTTTTGTCCTTACATGAGCCTTTCTTCAAGGCCCAAGCTGCATCTAAACAGTGCCTTTGCTTTTTACGACAAGGAAGGCAATCCTGGTAGAGCAAAGCTTCTTTCAGTCATAGGGTCTGTAAAACCTCTTGAAGACACCCACTCCACTTCTACAAGTTGAATGGCTTTACCTGCAGGAGCAGAGTGAGAAGGAAGGGCTACACAGTCCAGGAGCAGGGGTGCAGAGATCTGGGTAGATCTTAACACGGTCACTCCTCTCTTGCAACAAAGGAAGACCAGGAAAGGGAGTTAGCATAAAACAAAAAAAAAGGCAGGAAAGAAAACTGAAGAGGACTTTATGTCTTTCTTGCAAATTCTCTTACAGAATGAGAAACTATAAAAAAGCCAAGTTCTTGTAGCAGGCACTGCTGCTTAGTCTATCCAGGTCCAAGTTCCTGAGCACATCAAGAGCTGGGAAGGCATTCGAGTTGACACTACTCTACTGTCCCAGCTATTGCATATGCTCAGCAAGACCATTTGAATGGGCTGAAACACATCTGGAACACCACATATGCCCCAGATCTGCTTCTGGGTAATTTTGTGATGAAATATGGTACTGCTTCTCATGGAGAGATTTAGGTGATGCTAAGTCTGCGGGGGAATAAATCTGGACTGTTACAGTGTGATTCACCTTGGACAGGCAAAGCTTTTCCAACCCATCTTCATTTCTATTTTTAGACACAAGCTCAGAAACTATAATTCGTAAACTAGGTTAGTCAAAATATGCAAGAGAAAAGGAAGGACAAAAGAAGTCAGTCTTTTATTTCAGACTCTCTGTTCTTTTTTCCCCATTTTATGCTCATTTATTATTAATATTTTACAACTATTGTAATATGTTCTTAATGGTTTACTAAAAGGGATAGAGAAACCTGTCCTATTTTTGAGATATGATATATATTCAGAGGAAACACAAGAAAAGTCCTTTTCTACTGATGCTCAACATGTTTTTTCTGCTGAGCTCCCTGCTGTATCCCAGAAGGAGATTTTTCAAATTAATTCAGTCAGATTTCCCTAGAATCAAGAGAACAGCATAGTATTTATTTCATGCTAATCAGTTCTCTGACTTGCATGAGGAGCTGGCTAATTTATTTGCAGAGAGTGGCATTTGGATTACAGGCAATGTGGGTAAAAGATTAGGTTTGTGGCAAGAAAAATTTTTGTAAATATTTTGGTGAAACTGTGTGACAAGGAAGGTATTTCTTATGCTGTTTTAAAAATTATAAGCTGTTAGTCTTTCCTATAAATCTCTTGAGAACGTTTATGTTCATAGACTTCTAAAAATACGTTGTACAGTATCAGTACATTTGAAGACACAGCGAGAAATTATTATTATCATCTAATATAAATTGCTATCAGTATATAATGGTCTTTTATTAGTAGTATAACTATACTGTAGTCAAACCTGCTGTTTCTTCCTCTTAACATGGGTTAATATTTATTAAAATCAAAGTGTGATATGTTCCTTTATGCTTGGGGATTCACGTCATGTTTAGTAGTAGTTTCCTGGAGTAAAATGAACTTTTCTCAGGTGGGCAAAAGCATTGCTGCTGGGAACAATTATAATGCTGAATTTTGCATACAGAGGTAACTTACCAAGATTAGACAAACTAATTTAGTGTCTGTGCCTTCAGCCCTATGTCATGGTAGACTCTTAGAGTCTCAGTCTCAGTTGAAGCTTGTTTACCCACACAGTCCACAATTCTCTGTAGTGGTACAGCTGTGGAGTGTGGTTTTTCGGTTTTGATGTAACTGTTTTTCTACTTGTGGAGTATTTTGAGCTCTATCTCTGTCAAGAGAATGTGGCCATGGGTGCTGATGACAATTCTGCTGTGCCAGCAGTACCTCTGCCTGGTGGCTCCAATGGGTTCCTCATGTAGCAGCAAAATGTGCAAGCATAGCTAACAGTTTCAGATGAAAATTTTTGCATCTACATGAAAAATACCATCTCTTCTGCTCAAATGAGGAGTGTTTTTCCTGACTCAAGGGGGATTATGGTAAGGGTAAGCCTGTGTGACAGGCAACAGTGCAGCAGAGGTACAACCAGAGTTGCTAGATCTGAACTTGCAAAAATGGTGAGTCTTCCAAAATGTCTTGTTATCCTACTAGAAAGGGGAAAATATCATGCCACTTCTATTGTTTGTTGATATATTAATTTTCTCAACTTGCTGGCCTGTTTCCTCTTACATTTTTTTGGTCCCACTATCCCACTATCATGTCTACCATCATTTTGAAAGGAAGGTGCTATGTTCATGGGGGGGTTTGTAACTTGAAACCAGCTATCTGTACTGGAGTGTTTCTAACTCCTAGTGGAATGCAGAATAATTCATTGAACTAGCTTTATGGTATACACCAAGAAACACAGATGCTCCATGTTGGTTTCTTAGGAAGCATTTAAAGACCCTACTGGGCTTTGCAAATTCTACCTTCAGCCTCAGATTGTAAGCTGAACTCAGTTTTTGAAGAAATATATTTGTATTCTTTTCAACTCAAACAACCTGCCCCAACTTTCCTTGCTGTTAGCAACTGTTGTACCTTTTCGGATGTGCTCCAGTCTTTCAGAAGAAATAAAATTTGTGAAAATCTGCCATGTGAGATGAGGCATTAGGAAACGAATAAGTAACTTGATGGGAATGGAAATGAAAGTTTCCATTATATAGTTATAGCTCCTTCAGCAACTGACAAGTAAAATATTGATAATAAATCATATGCATGAGCTTCACAGGTTTAGCCATTGGATTCAGTTTGACTACTGCCTATGGTGTCTGACCTGCTGTGAGGCAGCATAATGACAGCACATTCCTTTGAGAGAAAAAAATTCTTCTGTTTAAGCTGAAGATGGATGCTATTTCCATCTGCTTCAAACTTTTCAGATTGGATAGGCATAATTTTAAATGGCAACACGTGTTCTAGCTGACAAAAGATTATTTAAAATGGTAATATTTTAAATCATGAATTATGTCACATAACCAGGATTACATAAACTAACAGTTTATGTAAGTTTATTTTGTGGTCACAACACCAAGCCTGACAGAGTTCAAGAATGGTTTCGATGACACTCTCAGGCACATGGTATGACTTTTGGGGATGGTCCTGTGCAGGGCTAAGGGTTGGACTCAATAATCCTTGTGTGTCCCTTTCAACTCAACATATTCTGTGATTCTGTGAACATGAAATCACACAGTTCTTTAAATCAGCCATCACTTACAACACATACATGTTCATTAGGTGTCTTACTCCATAAAACAAAGACAAATGTTCCATTTTATGGATTATAACATCACTAATACATAAACTCTCTTTCAAATGCCTTTTGTGAAATCTCCTATTAAACTTTTCCTCTTTCAATTATGATTTTTCTAGCCCAGCTAAGTCAGATTTGGCTTTCTGATGTATGAAGTAAGCTATTGTTCATATGCTAGATCTTTGCCTTGGACTTTAATTTTCTGAGCTTTCGCAGATTCATTTTGTGGTATTACTATATTGGTGTCAGAAATACATAGATATTAAATTGAGGCTTCACAAAATCTCCAGGAGTGCATGCTAGATGGATTTCAAATCATTCTGTTTTCCTCTTTATTAGTTCTTTTATATCCCTCAATTTGGCTTCAATTCAGGGAAGCACTCAAGCAAGTGCTTAGCTTTGAGAATGTGCTTAAATCCATTTTTTTGTTGTTGTTGTTTTTGTTTTTGTTTGTTTGTTTATTTTGGGGTTTTTTTTGTGTGGAAATATAGGCTCATACTAAGGGCTTTGCAAAGCAAGAAATGTTGTTATTTTCCCACAGGATGTCCCCCATATTTTAGCCATGTGTTTGCCTATTACTCTAAGTTGAGGTTTCTGTCCCTCTCTTGGGACCCAATCACCTCTAGGCCTCTCGGTCCCTCCCCAGTCCCCGTTCATCCACCCCCCTGTTCTGCCCCATTTCGCCCCTCGGCACACACCTTCAGGAATTGAGTCTGGGGGAGTTTGGGACCCCTCTTTCATCATCTTCCTCTTCATCACGGACAGTCCTCAGAATCCTTCCAAAGTTCTGGGCCTGAAGGCCATGTTTACATTCCTTGGGGCAGGTGTTAAGGTGCTTTCTGCAAATCTACGCTGAAAAGAAGACTAAACAGCTAACGGACTTAAAGGAGTTTTGATATGGGAAGGGGGTAACGGTGTTGGGAAAATGTGTAAACTACTGTGCTAAAGGGTGAGGGATATAATACAGCTGCTTTAAAATCTACATTCACTACATAACTACTTCTAAAGTCTATAAAAATTAAAAAATCAAAAACTCTAAGGCAACAATAGCTATGTTATTTTAACCTGGGATGAAGCTGCTTGAGCTAAGCATTTAAATAAACAAAATAATGTCTTTTGCAGCATAACTACTTTCAGACACAGTGCTAACATTTCTCTATTTCTACCAGATAATCAATAAAAATGCTTTTTCCCCTCACCCACCCTTTTTTTTTTGTTTTTAATGACCGTTTCTGGGCAGAAAGGGGTAGCTTAAAACAATCACTGCTAAAGGAGAGAATTTACAAATCCAGTGTGCTTCCTCTTTCAGAGGAAGACCCATCCAAATGAAAGACTAGGCTTGTTAATGCAAAGTATCTGGTCTCTGAAGTTGTGGGTGCTTTTAAGGAGGTGCAGGTATGAATGTCTTGGATTATTTTGATACTACTGTAAACTAATAGAATAAATGTATTTGGCAAATCTTTTTGGTATATGAAAACAGGTCTCTCAGTTACTCAAACCAATGAGTTTTCCTTATGTAATTCTCTAAGCACATAGGCTTCTGCTGCCATGAACTTCCCTACCGGTGGGGAAAAGTGTTTTGAGGATGTTTAGTCTTGTACACCCCATATTCTTCCTATTGGCAACTAGACCTCCTTTAAGTCTATTTATCATAATACACAGAATGAAAACTGTGAGTCTGGAGGAGACTCCATCATGGCCAAGGAAGTCATCAAGTATCAGTCCTTTCTATTAATTCAAGGACAGTGTCTGACCATCAGAATTAGTTTTTGCTCACCAGGTTTTCATCTGTTCTGCACTTCTGTGTCAGACATTCATTTGCAGGGAACAGTTATGAGCATGTTTCATTTACCAGTCATGGCTGCTGAGACCACAGAGAAGCTGTGTTAGGTGTGGACACGGAACCCATCTCCTAACTGTACAGTAACCAACATCCTTAGGGATCTGTACCTTTCCTTAATTTGAAAAGCCTATTGGAACAGGGGAAAAAAGGCACATATACCTGCAGTGCCAAGTGCCTTTCCTGACAAGTTTGCTTTAAATTGTCAGCAGTGTGCTGTGCCCTGGCAGCCAGGAAGGTCAACCGTGTCCTGGGGCATCAGGCAAAGCATTGCCAAACGGTCGAGGGAGGTGATTGTCCTGCTCTGCTCTGTACTGATGTGACTCTGGGGGATGGTCCTGTAATCCTTGTGTGTCCCTTCCAACTCAGCCTATTCTGTGATTTTGTAATATCAGAACTTTTATTTGTTTCGGTTTTTAAGATAGCATAAACCACAACATTTTCCATGGTACTATTTTCTGTGTGACTTTTTTTCCGACAAATTCAGACTCCATCACATGAAAGTCAAACCCATGATTAATCATGGAGAAATTATAAACAAATTATAAACAGATTTTGTAATATGTGTAATATTACACATATTTAACAAGACAGAGTTTCCCAGTGAAAGTCTATCTTTATCAAGGTCTTTCAGGTCCACTTTTAGAAATAAACTGTTCTGGTCTGAGGTCTTTGTATTTTCTATTCTAATGGTCACCTATTGGAATAGATAATTTATAATAAAATCATCTGAGTTCCAGCAGGATGGCATATAGCTTTCTTTTCAGTTATAATGTTTAGTGTAAAATATTAATATTAAAATTAGTTATTTTCTACTAATTTTACGACTCTAAGGCATATTGTAATTTTATTCATAATAACCTCAATTACTACTATTTTATGGTCTGAAATACACTTATCTGAGAATACCCAGCTAACTTAATGTAGAAGTCAAAGTATGGCCAATATGCTCTGCGCAAGCTAGTTCCTTGGATTGAAAACCAGACTTAGAAATTAATTCATTACATATTTTAGGGGAAAGTGACAATTTACAATGTTTAAGATGAATAATAAAACCTTACCAATGGCATGATTTCTTCAGCATTTCTTGTATTCCCTTCTAGCCAGAAGTCAGTGAGCGCTACAAGCAAATCTGAATGCAGTAGCTGACCTATTGAAAATTCAAAAGGATTAGAGAGTTTAAGGATTACTACAAAGTTCCTATTAATATTTAACCAACCAACCTGTCTGACTGATAGATACTACTGACACTTTTAGAAATTCATTTATTCAAAGAAACACCATCTCATTATGTGAGCTTATCTAATATCCTTCTTTCAAGTCGGAATTTTAAGCTAAGTAGAAATGCTTTGCTGGTTGGAAGACAGCATGTTGTTTACTGGATTTCTCAGCATGAAATTACAAACAAAAAGCATGTCATATTCTTGCATATAGTTAAAACAGATTGATTGTGGTTTTGTTTGACTAAACAATGACTTCACTGAATTTGTGGACAGTTATGCTTGCTTTAGAACATGGTCCATGAAACATTTGGAATTTGTTATCCAGCAGCAAGCTGTGTCTTTGCAAACATGCCTCTAATAGGCTCACTCTCCAGCTTTTATGTGGCAAGCTGAATGAGTCTATGAGTCTGAATAAGTTCTTTTCCAGTTAGAGACGTTTGATGTATATCCTATATATGAGAAGTTCCTAGAGGGGAAAAAAGCCAACATGGATAAAACAAGAAAAAAGTTCTGTAGAGCTGATCTAGTTTCCATCTGTGACCACTGAACCTGTGGTTTTGTGAATCACAGAAGTAGGCATATTTCTTAACCTTCATAAAACTTTTGAAGTCTTCCCCAATGCTCTCAAGGATGAACTTGGAAGGTATGACCAAAGTGGAAAGATGACTGAGTATCTCATATGTCTGATGAAATAACTGCAAGAGGGACATAGGAAAGTGAGAAAAACCAGTTTTATTATTTATTTAATCATATATTCCTTTTTTTTCTTTTTTTTTTTCCCCGTCATTTTTTATCATACTTGCTAAAGAAAAGTTAGACTTTCCACTTGAAATGTGGGAAGTCTTTAAAAAGAAGAAAAGGAATACTTTCTCACTGTCTTGTGTCTAAAATATGGTTTATTTAAAACACATTCAGTTAAAAGGTCTGCTATTTTTAAAGATAAGTGTTCTCACTATGAGTTGCAATAAAAGGTTTAGATCTAATTCAGACCTGACCTGGAACACACTTTTGTCAGCTAAAGGCCTAAATTTGATTCTATGTTTCCACCTCAGCTGTAGCAGTTCAATGACTACATTATCCCTGAAGAAGGCAGATATTGGGGCATTTATTAATAGATAACCCAAGAAGAAATGGAAGAAATTATAGACAACAATCAAATTTAATGAAATTATGATGCTTTAGTTTGCAGTCATACTATGGTATAGTAGTCAAGTGGACAAAGCTCAAACATTTAAAATGCAATAAGGCTATATTATATCACTCACGTACGCTATTTCAAAATAATTTTATAATATATTTCCACTTGTGACAAGCATCTGGGACCATAAGTATGAACTGAATTTATGGTTCCAAAATAAAAAAATTGTTTTCTTCGAGATAAATTCAGAGAGGATGTGGAATGCTGTTTAAAAGAAAAGTTAGACTAGAATTTAGCTTTTCAGAAGTGAAATCTGTTTCTGTTTGATAAGCAGACCCATAGCTTTTCTGCAAATACATATAAGTTTAAGGCATCAAAGATCTGGGATCTCTGCTGTTCTATTCATAATAATTTGTGTTTTTCTTTATACACAGTTGAATTCTTAAGTCAAATGTCTGTTTTATGTTGGTACCTTTATGTTAGTAATTTGCTGTTCCATTTTGGAAAGGAAAGATGTTTTACCAATACGTATATGGTTTTACAGGGACCATGCTAGACTCTTCATTGATAAAATTTATCCAAAGAATAAAAGAAACCTAAAAACATTTAGAACGTATTGAAACAATTTTGATATTAAAGTTTTTAAGAGTGTCTCTTTTATACTGCTTGAAAAAATAAAAATGCATAAACGGTTCTACTAGTATGGACCTGTTTAGAGCATATGCATATCTCATGGAGAGAGTTTATGCAGAATAGGCAAGGAAGAAAACAGTCTTTTTGACATTAAATGAACTGTTATTTTTATAAATATATACTTGAGCAGTAAAACACTCATTTATGTAGCTAGAGGGTACTTTAAATTCATGTTCTACTCAGCTAAAAGGAAACAAGAATTAGTCCCGTAATACTACAATGCTCTGTCAAGAACATGAAGGACAGTATGAAACTTAAAGTAATTAAAATTTTGCATGAAAAAATTACTTTTCAGTCAAAGCAATATTTGGAATCAATTTAAGGGACTAATAGGAATATCTCTCAATAACAGAACAAATGACATTTCTGATGGGGCATATCTGATCCTTAAAAGGTTAGACTTATCACTCCATGCATCTTGGAGGTCAAAAATTCTTAACTCTTGCTCTGTCAGCAAAATTTTCAAGTCTATTTTTGTCTGCAGCCATATAAGAAGCTCATTCTTTGCAGATGCTGATTTTTTTTTTTCTATTAGATGAACATATGAGGGTTCAGAAAGCTTGGGAATATGCCAGCTGAGGAGGGACAAACTCACATGTTTTAACTCCTCACCTCAACAATACAAAGCAAATAAGGTGATTATTCAGTTGCTTTAAACAAACTTTGATTTAAGCAAGTAAAACAAGTGAAATAAAGCCAGACAAAAATATCCAAAGAACTATTGGCATTTCTGTCTCCTAAATTTTTGCCATGAATTTTCTTTTTGTTGGAAATTTTTTAGCTTCTGCCAAAAGTGGCGATTTGTCTTCATTTGAGAGCAAGTTTCTGTAAAGCTTTATGCCTTCAATCCATGTGGATACTTTTTTATGTCCTTGCCCTCCTAGAGTGACTATGAAAGCAATCCATCTTTTTTTTCCCTTGAAATTCAAAGATAATTTTCTTTATTTCACAAGGATTATAGGAAAAAAACCCCACTAGCTTGTTGTATTTTCCTGTTGCTCATACAAAACTGTTTGGTCAGCAGTCACAGCTATTTCAAAGTTCTGCAGAAATGCAGACCATATTTCATTTTCCTGTCTTGGCCTCCTCTCAGTTTTCTATCCATAAAACAATGAGACAGGACAGATGAGAGATTTAAATGGGAACAAAACAGGTAGCTAGAGGGGTTGTAAAGGGTAGGTGATATGAGTCAATAGTTTACTGGCCACACTGTTTTTTGTGTTTCCTATAAAATTTTAAAAAGAGATTGGCAAGGTTTAGAAGCTGCAGCAGGAAATATTGTTTTCCACTTACAAATTGTTTCTTCTCTTACACATTCCTCAAGTACAAGACCTCCTTCACTCCTATAGTCACTTTCCACTGTTCCTCATTTTCTGTAATTAGAGGACTCCTCTAACTCTTCATAAATCCCTTACTCAGACTTATGTGCCTGCAGTAAATCTCAGACGTGGGAACAGTTCTGGAAACTTGTCAGGCTATATCAGCTCCTAGGATATACTAACCTCTTCTGGTTTAGACAACCATCTAGTAAATCCTTTTTGAATACATACAACAGTCTTAATTCTGACATTTTAAAGATGAAGTAAATTCTTATTCGAGATCTATGTAGAAAGGGGGAAGTATAAATTCTTCAGCTTAAATCTCGTGGCACTACTGTGCTGAAATCTGAATTAATTGCAGACAAAAACACTACTGAGAGTTTCTGCCAAATATGGAAATAAGTTATTACAAATAAAGACAGCATTTAGATATAGTGCTAAGCCTGCATTGAGGCATAGCATCTTAATCTGAATTATTGCTGCAAATAAAACAGGAAAGAAGAAAGTTTCATAACCCTTTAATATACCCTTAAACCTTGTCAATGCTTCATTCCCTAAGGGTGTTTGTTTCATTTTTGTCCAACCTAATACACGACAGTATAACATTTATTACAGTTTTAATGTCAGTTTCTCACATTATATCAGGCTATCTGTATGAGAGATCATAAAGTTGCTGTATAGGCTTTTGCATTAACTTATTTGATTTTATAAGCACTAAGTTATCCAGAAAGTTTGACTGTTAATGTCAATGAATATAAGAAGAATAACATGATGCGTGTAATTCCTCTTGATTTTAGCAGGATTTAGCTACTAAACTATCTTAGTATATTTAGAATTAAACTCCTCTCCATATCTTCATTAGTTTTCATTTCATTTAAAAAGAGCTCAGAAAGGTATTTTCAAAAGGAAGAGCTAAAAGCTAATTTAGAAGCTAATTCTCTAGAAAATTCCTCTTGCCATAATACATGTAACTTTATGCAGAGACTGACTAAAAAGCAATCTTCTTGTCTGAACCATATCTCAATCAACAATATTAATTTTATTTCTTTAAGTAATACATTAATGTTTATCATGGAGAAAAAAATATTGATTTGTTTCTTGCTTCCTAACTTTAAAAATGGGCATAAAAATGCCATTCATATGAGTAAATGCGTGTGTTTGCCCAATCTTCCAGCACTACTAGTAGAGAGGTGCCTGATGCTTTCATGTGAATCATTCACCTTCGATGTGTTTGCTAATCATCATTACAATTGCTGAAAGGCTTGGGGAAGAGCTTGCCGACATCTTCCTTTCTTAAAGTGTGTGTTCTTTCTGCAGAACTGTTCAAAAGGTCTGTGGGGGTGGGAAGCAGAGAGAGGGAAACACTATAGCTCTTTTCTACTTGATTTACAAAGCATTTTACTTATATTCTTTCCTCTCTGTATAAGCTTGTGCAAAAAGATGCTCACACAACACTTCACAGAAAACCAACAATTGTAACCAGTTATGAGCAGTTATGAACAGTTAATAGTTTCAGTGTTAATTTCATTGTATAACCTGTATAACCTTGAAATCTTTATTTAAAGGAGTTCTATTTCCCATAAATGCCTAAAGCATACCTATGCCACCTCATAAAATGATACCTTTTCTCCTTTTATATGGCTGTTGACTATCCAAATACAGAAGATAAAAAATAAGTTGGGGAGTGAATCTCATTCATATTCATGTCTGAATAAAAGTTTGAAAGCCATTTGCTTTGTACTTCACAGAGCACAGTGT